CAGAATTCTGACTTTTTCCCTCACATTTCTGCGTTATATCTTGCAATCTTATCCTTTTACTGAATTCTGAGTTTACATCTAACAATTCTGTAATTCAGGTTCACCCCCCCCCCTCACAGTTCTGATTTTAAAAAAGTCATAATTGCAGAATACAAACTCAGAATTCAAAATTTTCACATAATTCTAAATTTACACCTTGCAGTTTTTTTTTTTAAATCTCAGAATTCTTAGCTTACATATTTCTCTTCCATCAAGGAATAATAATAATAATAATAAAAATTAATTATTCCTTGGCAGAAAAAAAACCTGACACGTTATCTCATAAATCTGACTTCTTTTCTGGCAATTGTGCATTAAAGCAGCACTATGTAACTTTTGGCGCTCTAGCGGTTAATAAACAGAACTGCACACATCCCGCGGAAGAACATTCCAACCGGAGCTACTTCTCTAAATTTATGTCTATGGCGATTCACGCAGGTATGTATTACTCCGCAGCGGTGATGACCTGACCAGGCTACAATAGTCCAAATATAAGTGCGTATTATAAGTGTACCGTAGTGATTCGGAATAAGACAAAAACGCGGTTTGGAAGATGAATTCATGATGTACTCGCTCATTATATACATTTAGCAAATGTTGAACACAGAAAAAGTTACATAGTGCTGCTTTTCTAACAATTCTGACTTTTTTCACATAATTGCTCAGAATTGTTAGATATAAGCTCAGAATTGCTAGAAAAAAAATCTGAATTGTGAGAAATATTTTTCATCTTGTGGTGGAAACAGGTTTTCATAATTTTCTGATTAAAAACTATTTGAATAAATTCCTTTGTGTGCGTGTGTATATTTGTGCCTTTTGTTGTTGGGACAGTGTTTAAAGAAACATCCTAATCCAGATTCAGATTCAAAACTCTGTAAGTTCAGTATTTTCATAATCAAGCATCCTTCTGTTAATGAATTTCCTTGTTTGCCAAAATAATAATAATAATAATAATAAAATACAGGAAAAACATTTGAACTGTAGGCATTTACAAATCCGTTGCCACCGTGTTAAAATCTTTATATCAGCTATAAATTGTTACATTATTAACAATGTCTTTTTTTGTGGTTTCTACCCATTGGGTAGGATATGTGCATACAGACTAACTTTATTTACAGCACCTTACAAATAAACGATTAAAAAAAAAAACATTACACAGAAGAAGAAAGCACCATTGGAAGTGAGGCACAGCTAAGGTGGGAACTTTTAGAGTGCAAGTGGGTTCCTACGTCGCTCAAAAAAACAACACGATCGATAGGCACAGATTCAGCTCGAGTAACATGCAAACTCCTTAGACAGTAGAATACATCAGAAAGCTCTTCCTTTGAGACAGAAACAAATTGTTGTAACATTTACCAGGATGGTGCAAGGATGGACAGACCGGCAAAACAAAAAGTGCAGAAGAAGAGAAGCAGCATAGCAGCAGCAGCAGCAATGGCGGGAGCAGCAAACTGTCTAATGAAAGCGTTGAAAACGGCCAGTGAAAAGAACAGACGGACAGGTAACAGAGAAAGGGCTCTTGAATCCAATACAGTTCTGAATGCAGTGACATTGTGCTCTCGCTCTTTGTAGTCTTGGTTAATCTTCGCAGATGGTCTGAGAGAAACATCTCATCTCAGGCTCTGCAATATGTTTCTGAAGTTGTGAGTTTTTAAAGTCTGTGCTTGAAAGACAAGAGCATCTAGACACCATTCAAGCGACTCTACTATTCTATATCTAGCTGAGCTGCTGGAATTCTAGAATCCAATACTAGCCATTTTGATGGGAATCTAGAGTTATAAAAGTGATGGGATTCTAGAATTATAATTGTAAAATTCTAGGGTTATTACATTCTAAATCAGCTAGAATCTAAATGTGATAGGATTCTAGAATTCTAAAATCTAGCCTACAATCCCTGGCAAAAATGATAGCATAATTTTTTATATATATATATATATATATATATATATATACAGTAATTAAACAATTTTTCATGTTATTGTTTCATAATATTATAACAGGAGTGGCGAACGTCGGTCCTGGAGAGCCGCAGCCCTGCAGAGTTTTGCTTCAACCCTAATCAAACACACCTGAACAAGCTAATCAAGGCCTGAAGGGTTACTAGGAAGCTACAGGCAGGTGAGTTTTTATTAGGGTTAGAGCTGAACTCTGCAGGACTGTGGCTCTCCAGGACCGGAGTTCGCCACCCCTGTATTATAATATTCCGGCTTTGTGAAACAAACAAATTAAATTATTTTAATTAATGGCAAATTGTTTCCCACATCAAGTACTAGTTTTTCAGGAAAGTCAACAAACATTCCAGATCTCAATCTGACTGGAAAAGCATGGTGGAAAATTTGTTTTGCTATTTGTTCGTGAAAGTTGTAACCAGCTTAATGGAGAATATTGTGTTTCATTAGTAAAGCGCGTGCCTCCAAGAAATAAATTCGTCATTAATTTGTTTGAGTTCATGTTTCACGAAACCAGAATGTTCAGCTATTAAACAAAAAGAGTTTGGGGATTCATTTATTTGCCATAAAGTAAAAATAAATTAATTAAAAGAATAAATCTGTGTGAATATCCTCCAAGTGTGGTTATTCCATCATTTTTGCCAGAGGTTGAAACGGCTAGGATTTAAAAAGTCCAGTTGTTGTGGTTCTACTATTCTAAATATAGAAAAGGAGAGTGTTTGTTTAGTCTGGTATGGAGCACATAGGTCCAGATGGCATAATTTCTGTCCATAAAAAAAAAATAATCCCACCATGAGCAGAGAAAAAAATAATAATAAAGCCAACTAACACAGACATGAAATGAAAGCATTCAAACACATTTTGATTGGCCGACTCTAACATTCCGAGTACAAATAGAGTAGCTTATAAAGGTGAGTGTGTTGCTTTTGAAAACTTTTTTTGACCATAATCCCCAGTGAACAAATCTAAACTTAAAAAAGTACAAAAAAAATAATAAATCACCATGGCCCTTTCACATGTCCATCTGTCATTGGCAGATTCAGTGGTGACTAAAAACAAGAGGCTCAGTCTTCAGTCTCCTTATTAAAGGGATGTGTGTGCACTAACTGGTAAGAGTCTTTGGGCTTTCTTCTACATTCTCTCTACCTCTGGACCAGATTCAAGAGCAACATCCTATATCTGGGCCTAAACGATTGTGATCAACTACACCCAAGCTTAAACTGAATGCAGAGAGCCGCTCTGAAGTGTACGGATCTTAGATTTCCTGACTATGTCTACGTGGCAAATAAGAGGAACACATATGGACAGGAAGAGAGTTCAGTGTTCAGGACTGGTGCGTGCTGGGAGGAGCTGGTGTCAGGGTCAGGTTCACTCTGGCCGGTGTCAGAGTGAAAGCAAAGGCAACAGGACAGAGGATTGCTGGGTAAAAATAGGTATTTTCAAAAATGCCCATCACATTAGCCCTTGACTTCACCACATTTTAAACCTGATTAATTCTTGTTGGGGACTACATTATACAACATGCAAAACAGGGTTTTTAAAATCCTTTGAACACCCTGGCATTTTGATTAGAAGATTATGCCAATGAATGTCTATGTTCTGCTATCAGCTGTAAGGTGGAGGTGGAAAATGTGAACGATTAGTGACTGATGGGTTGTCAAAAAAATAAAATAAAATACAGAACTGGATTATTTTATAGGATCATTCCGTTTATCAGTTTTGACTCAAAAACAAAAGTGCAAAAAGGCATGAAATGGTAAACTTAAAAGCAAGATTTTTTTGACAGACTCCAATGAGGGAAAAAATCCATTAAAACCATAATAAAATTATATATATATATATATATATATAATTAGTCTATATAATTATATTTAAGATAATATAATAATAAAGATAATATATAATAGTTTCTTACTAATGTCTTTAAGGAAAATAACATTATTAATGTCTCCCTTTATATACACATTTTAAAATCAATATATAATATTAAAAATAATAATAAAAAGAGAGATGATCAGAATAAGGAACTCCTTAGAAAAAGCATATCTCATAACATGTTCAGATCTCTTAGTGAAGTGAGGATTTTTTAGGCAAAATGTCAACCGTGCCACCAGCAAACTGACCACAGATCAGCTGGAGTCTGTGAAAGCGGCTGAAAGTGTCAGTGGTGAGGATAGATGAGAGTAGAGCAGACTCTCTGTATTCTGTGCCTCTTTTAGATCATGGTTATTTTAGGCTGGATCAGAGATTTTTCTTGTGCTGAAGACTGACAAGATCACTTCCCTCCGGTAGAAAGCTTGCACTGAAGCATATGATCAGAGCTACACGAAAACGACTTCCCCACTACCCCATTCCCAGATTTCTCTGATTAACCTCAACAATAGTGCAAAGTTCAGAAAAGGGTTTTGATTTAAATGTATAACAAGTCTTTAAGACAGTCAACGCCCCATGACACCTTCCTCATAAACCTTGGCACTAGGATTTGGATTTCCACCCTTTTATGCATTTGTTTTGTTCATGCTGCACAGATCTCGGTCTTTGAATTAAAAAAGAAAAAAAAAAATTCTATCCACACAGCTATTATATCACGTGTGGAGGGGGGGCATTCAAGAGGAACACAACAATAAAATCAACAAGAACAACAACAACAAAAAGCCTGTCTTGTGCGCGAATAAATTTCTCTAAATTTGTCGGCTATACAGAAGTATTACAGAGCAATAAATGTGGGAGACTCCGGGCAGTGCATAAACCCCAGTTTTAGCGCAGCTGGTCTGAGAAAACAAATGCAATGTTTTCTTTCGTAAGCTCAGCTCCATATTGTTATTTAAAAAAAAACAAACACATGATTTCACTGTCGTCGCGAAAACATTAAGCGCTGTTGTGCACGGGAGTGTCAAGAGGGAGAACCCATTCCCTTTATGGGTGGAGAGTGATCGCAATTGCCCAAACGTGTGCTAGCCCCACCCCCTCACACTAGCTCCTCCCTTTGTTGGCCTTTGCTCAGAGCTATTGTGCTCTCTGGGCTGTTTAAATCTGTCCGGCCCATGGGCGGAGTCTGCACAGTGACGGGGATGGGCGGGTTATTGCTGTGCTGGTGGAGGTAAAGTACGATGCCCGACTGCTGCCCAATTACTTGACTGTAAGCGGGCGGAGGGCCCTCCATGCGTCCATGGGTACTGGAGCTGGCCGCGCTGATCCCAGAGTTGCTACTGGGAGGCCGCGGCCCACCTCCACCCCCTGAACTGTGCATGTCAATGAGGTCGCTGTCGAAGATGGTCCGGTTAGGGGGGGCGCGTACCGACTCTCGGTTGAGCTCGAGCTGCTGTTCGGGGTCTCTTAGCTGCAGTGTGCAGGGACCCTGGTACGGTGGTGGCTCCTCTCCATCTGACAGTGAGATGGTGGGCGGCAGATCGATCTCATGCTGCAGGTATGGGTATGTAGGCTGGAAACGTCTGAAGCGGTTGTGCTGCATGAAAGTGGGTGCGGTGAAGCGGTCCCTTGGCTGAGGAGCATACACCACCTGCAGAGGAGAAGAGAGGGAATGCAAGAAATAAAATGAGAACATGTCATCTTACCTTTAAAGGATCAAATAAAGAGCCATGAAATGCTAGTATGCAAAACTCAAATGCCACAATGGTGGTAGTTCCTTGCAGGGTTGTCCCTTGTAGGGTTTGAACCCACAACCTTACAGTTGCCAGCCTAGACCTTTGATAACTTGGGTATAATTTAATACATTCAGTATTATTGGTGGATATAAAACGTTATGGCAGTTTTCTGTTTTTCATAGCTGCCCATTCCAAGGAACACGATTTGTGTTTAATGATTTGTTTGCAACATCCCTCAATTTACTGTGTGGCATTTAACGTTTAAAGTGCCCCTATTACACCATTTCGAATATTGTCTTTCGTGCAGTGTGTAATGTAGCTGTATGTGAATATAAACGATCTGCAAAGTTGTAAAGCCGAAATCTCGGGGAGTTTAATGCGGGATTCACAAAACGCTGGGTCTTGAAAGATGGCTCAGTTTCCAGTTTATTTGGACCAGCTGGCTCCACTGAATCACAACCTGCAAGTATGATAAATAATAGATGTTTATATTTTCTATCGAGCGTTCAAAATATGGAACTACAGCAATGGGTGTATTGTTCCCAACACGCACTGTACGCGGTAGACCAATCACAACAGACCGGGCCATCTGACCAATCAGAGCAGAGTAGGCTCACGGAAAGGAGGGGTTTAGAGAGACTGAATCTTAGAACTGCTTTGAATGAATCATTTGAGAATTGTTGGAAAATGAGGTGATATTAAATGCATATTTTGAGAAAATGGAAGTGTTTTTTGACCTTGCATGCATGTAAACCTATATTGTAGGAGACTCCCAAAGCAATATTAGAAACCTTAAAAATGGCATAATGGGGGCACTTTAATGAAAGAATGAATCAATAATTAAATACTACTCTACTTATTCGTGCATAAAATAAAGATGATATAAAATAAAATGATATAAATCACACACACACACAAAATATTATATATATACACCATATATACATTTATAATTATGATTACATCATTTTATATAGACATTTTTTAAAAAGCAAACAAAACTGATACATTTTTAAGCTATATCACCCAGCCTTACACCACATATAAGACATTGTATGACAGAGAAAGAGTCTAGATGCCCAGAGAGAACTACTAGATGCCTTAGAACTACATCCACATAAACCTGGTTTTTCAGCAGACAAAAGTGTGTTCGTTCAACAAAACTGTATTCTACTCATGACACATCCACACAGCTAAATAGTGACTCTTCCATTTCCATATAAACTCACCAGAGCTCCAAACTTAAATGGTCCCCAGTCCAGACATTAGTATGCTAATGTGCAGCTGATAAAATATCCTTCATGTGAGTGAAATCTACATATCAGTTGGCCAATGAGATCAGTCTCATTACTGCAGGGGCCACGTACACATTAGAGAGTTTGGGGCCGATGGGAGGCAATTTACACAGATAGACCCTGAGTGTCTGGCCTCTCAGACGACCGTCTAGACACTGCCAGAGGAGGGTGAGAGATTAATGAACTGCTGAGAGGCTGCATCCCGGTGAGAGAGACAACCCCACACACCACCACCACACACAAACAATGAATATATATGCATGTATTCTCTCCACACACTATATTTTATACTAGTGCTATCACTCACAGACACAGTCTCAGAGACTATCCTCCCTCACATACGCCTACACTGAGAGAGGCACAGGCACACACAGGCACAAAGACGATACACACTTGAGGAGACTTCACTGCTTGTTACATGTGTCTGAGTTTGACTGGCGTCTAGACAGAACTGCTGAATGTAATCAACATGCCCTGGTCTCATAGGGACATCTCCATTGTGTCTCTTCCAAACCACACTGCCTTTCTAAAGGAGTAATATATATCGTGTTTTAAATTTATTGCATGTAGTGCATGCAGTAAGATGTAATATGTCCTAATGCAGCATTCAGTTTTCCATGAAAATTCTCTGTGCAGTCACCCATAGCATGAACAACTAAAACCTCTTGCACTCCACAGCATGTTCACTAACATTTGGGGCACGACAATGATTTGTACTTTTGAAGTAAGATAAATGATGTATGATTAATTTCCTGCTGTCTGCCTGGTTAAAAACTGTGCAAACTTTCCGAAATTCATCCCTGGGGTGAGATGAGATACCCACACATGCAGTGCTCCGTCTCATCAGCTCAGTGCACTGCTGCATTTAAAAGGAACATTTAAAACATCTAAATAAAGTTCACATACTGTCATAAATGAACATAGATCAGAAGTACTAGCATTATAAAAATATTTATTTTTATTTATAAAAAATAAATAAATAAAATAAAAATAACCTATTTGTTCAGCACTTATTAAGATGATTTTAGGTGCTGATTCACTTGTTTAGATGATCCTCATGGGCTTTGCTGCTCCTTGTCTCTGGAAAACTGTTGAAAATTCTAATATCTCCGTTTTACTCATGACATTTTGATTATACAATTTTCATTCTGCTGCTGATTTACAGAAATATTCGGATCATTTTGGTTCCCTGTTTTCATGCTACACTGTATTTGCTGTATGTTGTTTACATTTGTTCCCATGCCATATCCATTTATTTTCTTCTGATTTGTCTGCTTCTTGTAATTAATTTGCACAGTATCATCATACTGTTTCCTATTTGCTCATCATGCTCTGTATAGTGACATTTGGTTCTAGAAAGCTATATAAATAAAACATGATTATTTTTTCATGGAGACAGCACAGAGACAGGAAATTGCTGGCAACTTGTGCGTTTCATATGAAACTTCATATGAACTTCTAGGCCTCGCCTGTAACATACATTTTTTGTTTATTCCGGTCCAGGGCTTACAGAAGGTTGTCAAAGTGTTTAAGCAACGGTGCTGCTGTGGTTAGTGCAGAGAGAGTGTGACAGGGTCTTACCGGCTGCAGAGAGAGATCCTGACTCTGTGCCTGACTAGCGCGGCTCAGGAACGACCATGTGGTGAGTTTGTAGTGGTTGAGCAGGCACACGACCACCACGACCATCACAGTCATCACGACGATTATGATCACGATCTGCACAAACTCCAGCTCAGCTGCAAAACATAAAGACATAAAGAGTTTAGAAAAGCAAAGAATGAAAAAAAAAGAAAAAAAAAAGGGATCCAGTTTACAATCAAGACATCTTCAAAAATTCTATCGCGTTTTGACCAAAAGATGGCAGCAGAGTCAAATCAACATCCATGAAGACTACAGCTCCCCAAATTGGTGATATCATCTTGCAAAAAAAGGTGAGAGCCATTTTGATTTGACATGGACAACAGAAAGGAAATAGTTGGAAATCTGAGGGTCAATAATTACTTATTTTTCTGTCTGTTTCTCAATTAAATCTATCATGAAGCTTCAGAAGACTTGGAATACAAGTGTACAAGTCATTTGGAATATGACTGGTCGCTTTATTAGTGCTTTTGTGATCTTGAAAGATCTATGAATTTGCCATATGGAAAAAAAAAAAGATGATTAAAGAGAAAGTTCACCCAAAAATCCTGCTGTCATGATTTACTCTCCTCGTGTTGTTCCAAACCTGTACGAGTTTCTATTTTCAAAAACACTGGACCCACTGATTGTGATTGTATGGAAAAAATAAATAAATAAATAAAGTCATTCAGGTTTGGAATGACATGAGGGTGAATAAATAATGACAATTTTCATTTTTGGATGTACTATCCCTTTAAAATTCTCCTTTAAAGGGATACTCCACCCCAAAATGAAAATTTTGTCATTAATCACTTACCCCCATGTCGTTCCAAACCCGTAAAAGCTTCGTTCGTCTTCGGAACACAATTTAAGATATTTTGGATGAAAACCGGGAGGCTTGTGACTGTCCGATTGACTGCCAAGTAAATTACACTGTCAAGGTTCAGAAAAGTATGAAAAGCATCGTCAGAATATTCCATCTGCCATCAGTGGTTCAACCGTAACGTTATAAAGCGACGAGAATACTTTGTACGCGAAGAAAACAAAAATAACGACTTTATTCAACAATTCGTCTCCTCGGTGTCTCTCCGCATCACCGTAGCTCCATTTTGGAGAATATCCACTGAACGCAAGCTATTCTGTGTCAGCCAGAATAGCTGGGATACGTTTTCTATGTGTATTTACGCTTTGATTTGAACGAAAACAGCGCATCCGTGCAGCGAGGCTGACACAGAAGAGTGTACGCTGCTTGCGTTCAGTGGATACTCTCCAAAATGGCGCTACGGTGATGCGGAGAGACACAGAGACGAGGAATTGTTGAATAAAGTCGTTATTTTTGTTTTCTTCGCGTACAAAAAGTATTCTCGTCGCTTCATAACGTTACGGTTGAACCACTGATGGCAGATGGACTAATCTGACGATGTCTTTCATACTTTTCTGGACCTTGACAGTGTTATTTACTTGGCAGTCAATGTGACAGTCACAAGCCTCCCGGTTTTCATCTTAAATTGTGTTCCGAAGACGAACACAGCTTTTAGGGGTTTGGAACGACATGGGGTAAGTAATGGCAACTAATGGCATACAGGTTTAAGATGACATGAGGCTGAGTAAATAAACAAATAGTTCACCAAAAAACGTTTTTGGGTAGTTTAATGGGTAGTTAATGATGAAACCAGAGTTTCTATCATTAACCAGCTTTATTCCAATATCCTGGCCTGTAAGCACCAAAATAATGAAGGTAAACAGCTTGATCGATGTTTCTTAAAACATGTTCTGTTTGAACACGAGGAACACCCTGCTGGACTCACACTTGCTCTCAGTCACGAGCAAAACTGTTTCTCAGATGGAAATGCTTCTGGAGTCCACAGGCTTTTCAGACAACAAAAATGAGCCCTCCACCAACTGTGCTGAGGGACCGTTCTGGAACCTCGTACAGTCGAGTAAACCGAACAGAGAGGCTAAAAGTGAGAGTGTCACGAAGAGAGAATGAAAGAGTGAGTTGTTGCCTGCAGTGAAGTACTGCGCGATACTGGCACTCACACATCAAAAGAAACAAACACTTCTCTCCTAATTTAGGGCATAAGAGGAGGAAGCAAAAGTGGGAGACGGAGCAGAGGGGAGGGTGATGAGGAGAAGAAAAAAAAGAAAAAAAAAAAGAGAGGAGGACACAGACAGGCAAAACAGACAAAGGAAGTGACAATCAGACAGGAGGGCAGATAAGACAGAGATAATGAGACTCAGATCAGAATACCGGTAAGAACAAATAAGACTACAAACACAAACCTATCAGACTGGAACTGAATCAATACAAAACGAAATCACAGCAGGCTTCAAACCAGTCCATGAATACTGAGCTGCTAATCCGACTTTAGATCAAAAATACAGGAAATAAAAGCCAGTCTTTTTAAATGTACAGTGGGGATTTGAGAGTTCACACTGAAAATCTACTTTAACCTAGAAAAGGTTCTAGGATGTTGATAACTGTAAAACAAAGAAAAGTCATGATGTATATTTAAAATTCTGTAGTTCTAAGTCACTAAACAAATAAGCGTATTTGTGACACTGACCATGTGAACTTGTTTGTATAAAAGGTCAGATTTTCTTGCTAGTATTGATTCAAACCATAAAAATCATACAAAAATTTCAATTACATTTTTCATCATGCGGATGAAATAATTTATAATGAAAAAATAATTTGAATGAAAAAACTATTAAATTAGAAAAATGCAAAGCATTTTCTCAATTGCATTCAAGACTTTTGGACTCCACAATGCTCAGATCAATTTCACAGACTTTGGGTAACTTTCAGGGTAACTCTTACAAACAACCCCCCAGAACACCCTAGCAACCACCTAGAACAACTTAGCAACAGATAATGTAGCAATGTACAAACCATGCATAAGACCTTAGAAACTGCTTATCAACACCCTGGCAACCAAGAGTTCAGCATGAGCAAGCACCACGCAGATTTTCTGACAAAATGTAATATAAATAATTAAGATTATTAAAATAAGATGAATAATTTAAACTGACAACATACACTCTGGATTCCTCTTTTAGAAATGCCTTGTGATTAATTGCCCTGCTAGGGGGGAAAAAAGCTTAAGCTGAGAGCTTTTGGAACATGATAATTGGTTTCTAGCTGGTCTAAGTTGTCAGTAGACACTTTTGGACCAGCAACATGCCAGCTTCTGGTGATTAAGCTGGTTTCTGGAACACAGTAGCATGTTGACTAACTAATGACCCACTTAGATCAGCTAATGACCAGCTTAGACCAGCTAGAGACCAGTCATCATGTAGGTTTCGTTGGTAGAGCACATGACTTTCTGTAACATCCACATCCAGACACTTCAGTTTGACAAAAAAAAAAAAATAGTGACACTAGTGCTCTTTGATTGTTACTATGTCCTGTCCAATTCTCCCACTGACACACTCTGTCCAATGTAACAGTGACCTCTCATGCCAATCACAGAGAGACAGAAAGAGAGCGTGAACAAATGAGAGAGGGTCTAGGTATCACAGACTGCAGATTAGCCATACACAGACAAGTTTCTCTCTGCAGACCACAGAGAGAGGATCAAAATCCATCAGGCCGTTCTGTCACCAGGCAGAGCAGACAGAAAGCATTAGACCAGACGAGAGAGAGAGAGAGTGTGTG